AAGAGACCTGAGCTATAACTAGTAGAGCCATGAAAATCAGCCAACCAACTGACCTTTATAGCTGTGTATTTGCTACATCTTTCACTCCGTATTCGGCAAGAATTGCGGCGCGTTCTATTCAGGCGGTCAACCTGAGTTAATTAAACTCGAGCCCAGTAGAGCCGTGAAAATCAGCCAACCGTTGTAATAAAAGTTTTGCTGGATGAGGGGTGGGGAACGATGAAAAAGGGAGGCGCAGCTACAGGCAGGTCTCGGTCTTTGTGTTAGCCAGACCCCAACTGGCGGCCCCAACCCTATACCCTAAACATTAGGGGCAAGGGGCAACATGAAATCTCCCTCCCCTTCACAGTGAGAGGAAACTATGCTTGCAGGGGTCCCCTCTAGATAGCCTTCGGAGTAGGTAGTGAAAGGCAAAAAAACAGACGTTGAGAGAAGAATATAGAAAAAAAAAAAAAAAAAAAAGTTTCGCATTTGTAAATTAAAAAATAAAATAAAATACATCAGCCAACCAGTATAGTGAATTATGAAGACATCCAGCGGCCTAACTCAGTTGGTAAGGCACACAAGTGGCATTCAGGAGGTTGTGGGTTCAATCCCCATTGGGCTCATGTACCTTCCTGGGCATGCTTGGCGCCTGCCAGCTACCTTCTTCCCCCGAATACAACGTACCGTCATTATAGCTATATCTAGACGGAAAGATGCCTCTTTCCTCAAATGCACAGCTATAATGACCGTACGTTGTATTCGTGGGAAGAAGGTAGAGATAGAACACCGGATCCCCCAACCGGCATTGAGCCGAATCTGCTGATGTTCGTAGGGGGGGGGACCACCACCTGAGGCGAGGCACAGGGATTGGTCCTGTTGGCATGGTCCCTGATGATACCTACCGGCTGTCCCCTTCCCCCAACCGGTATCGCCCACCTTCAGGCAGGTCGGCAGCAGCCCCCGCATGTTCTCTCGTGAACACGTTTGTGGCTGCTACGGGGTTCCCCATATGCCTAGCCTACATTTAATTAGGTGTAGTGGCAGTTAGGTAGGTAGGTAGTGTGAGGTGAAATTGAGAGAAGAACACAGCTTTATAAAAGAATAAACAATAAAAAATAAAAAAATAAAAAATTTATGAAGACGTTAATGACGCACATCCCTCGCACGTCATCTACACACGTGGATGAGGTCATCCGCCACAACCTTTTTTTTTTTGTTCTACGATGTTCAACAACTGGGAGATTCCTTTTTTTTCTTTTTTCTTTTTTTAATAAGTTCAACAGGATTCGAACTTGTTGGGTCTAACTCAGCGGCCTAGCTCAGTTGGTAGGGCACGCAAGTGGCATTCAGGAGGTCTTGGGTTCAATCCCCATTGGCCTCATGCACCTTCTTGAACAAGCTTGGCGCCCGCCACCTAGAGATATGCCGTTGGTCCGGTCCCGATGCTACCGGCTGACCCCTGGCCAGTATCGCCCACCTGCTGCAGCAGGTATCGCACCTGCTGGTGGGTGCAGCTCCCGCATGTTCCCTCGTTGGAGCCTTGGAGGCTTGAGCATGGATGTGGCTGCTACGGGGTTCCCCGTAATACTATAATGACAATAAAAAAGGCCTGAAAGGAGGTCCTGTCCAGATTTGACAGGTATTTGAATTGCTTGGGCTTAAAGAATTAGCCTTTACAAAAAAAAAAAAAAAAAAAAAAAACTTGTTGGGTTTGTGTTTCGACAGTTCAAAAGGGTGTACCGAGGGCCTCGTTCTACACCTCTTGGAAATTGCTGTTTTTCAAGGAAGCGTCGTTCTACCCTACCCTAATCGCGCACCCTTGAAGTCGCTAATTGTTTCCACATCCTCGCGCACCCTTGAAGTCGCTAATTGTTTCCACATCCCCGCGGCCAAGTGTCTGCCCTTGAAACGGAAGTGCAGCCCAGCCCAGGCAAATCGACGAAAATCCCAAGAGTGCCTCAGGAGGTCACTTGGGGCGCAAGGGTTTCACCCTTCAAAACGGATAATATACGGACCTTTTTTCTTTTTTTCTGTTTTTGCCCACCAATCACCACTGTCCGTGGTGCAATGACATCAGCACTTCAGTTTCAAGGACGGCCGTCTCAAGGGTTTCGTCAAGGGGTTGTGGAACAAAAAAACAAGTTAGGGGAAATTAACCGCCTTCCGTGAGTTAGGGTGCCCTTGAAACTCAAGTATTTTCAAGTGGTGTCGAACCAGGCCCCAACTGCGCTAGTCTTCCCCCAAATACAACGTACGGTAACGTAGGGTCATTTTATAGCGGAATATATTGGGTTACCTTTTAGTCTAAATTACAGCTATAGCGACGGTGCTATGTATTCGGGGTCATTATAGCAGCATATGGGCAGTATCTTTCAGTCTATATACAGCTATAATGACCATACGGTACGGTCATAATTGCGGTATAAGGGTGCTATCTTCAGTCTAAATACAGCTATAACGACCGTACGTTGTATTCAGGGTCATTATAGCAGAATATGGTGGGTATCTCTCGGTCTAGATACACAGCTATTGTCTACCGCGTGTGCGCGGGGAACGCAACCCTAAGGTAGCCAAATCAATGAGACTAAGAGCTAACACAAAAGAGAGAGAGAGAGAGAGAGAGAGAGAGAGAGAGAGAGAGAGAGAGAGAGAGTTTTGTTCCATTTATTGTTATGAGTGTGAGAGAGAGAAAGAAA